TAGTTAGGGCTGGCTAGACGAAAAGTAAGAACCATAGACATATGACACAAATCTTAGCGAATGAAAAGCAATATAGAAGTGGATTGACCTCGTTTTCGCAACTTGGTCTTGTTGCCTAAGAGACTTAGTTAGATTCACCTTGTCCGAAGTCCTCTGCTATAGTAGTAATCATAAATCCTAGTGTCAGATCATGGACTCGGTACCTTGTCAAACGTTTCGCAGGCATAGGAGTCGGCATCATCAGTGAGTCTTACCAGTCACTGCAACAAGCTTAAACGCGCCTGAGACAAATGAAGTCAATATAAGAGTCGGGTCCACTCTAGATCGTCTAAGGTGATGAAGGACTGGTGGTTGATTTTCCCACAAGATATGACTAGAGCTGATGTTTACCTTTGAATTTCACATAGCCTTGCTTTCCCAAAAGTTGTTCTCATTTAGGATTGACTGTAGTTTCGATCTCGCATGGGTCTTAGCAACACCTCAAGCGGGAGTCGAACCGTGACAGTGCAGTATGTGTGGCAATGTGGCTGAGTGGTTAACGTGTCAAGTTCACATGTTGCACTGTCACGGTTCGATTCCCGATGGAGGTGCTGATAAGACCTATGCGAGATCGAAACCGCAGTTCACCCTTGATAAGAACAATTTTTGGGAAAGCAAGGAAATTCAAAGACGTCAGCTCTACTCATCATTGTGGGAAAATTCCAACACCAGTCATTAATCACCTTAAAAGAAATCGAGTGAATAAATCTCATATAACTGATTTACTGGTAGTCTCAAAACTCTGCTTATATACGAAAAATAACGATACCGACACTGAAAAAGAATAATAAGATTTAAATAGCCATGAGCCACCATTTTAAGCCAGTAGTCAGTGAGCAAACGAGGTTTTCAAGCTGGGTTTAAGTGAAAATGAAAAATAACATAATCTCAGTATCTAAATGGTAATGTTGTCAAACTCTACCAACTATAGAATTATAACTGTACCACCAATCAGGATTACCTCTAGGTGAGGGAGGACGACAATTTTATATTAGCATCGTTGTGCTTGCGTCAGGTTATTTGAATAGTTCATTGGCAAAAATAGCCTCCAAACATTTTCGACTAGTAATTATATATATGAGATGGATTCACCATATTTCGTTTAAGGTAATGAAGGGCTGGTAGCTGAATTTGCCAACAATCATATGAGTAGAGCTGACTTTACCATTGAATTTCACATAGCATTGCTTTCCCAAAAGATGTTCTCGTCTTCAATGGAAACGTCAGCTCT